TTCCTCCAGACTTCTCAGCACCAAAAGTCAGAAGAGGAGGTTCCTCACTCCCCCATCAGTGGAAATTGATTAGACCTTGGATCCCTCTTAAATTAGCACCCTTAAGTTAGTTGGCTACATATAGTTTTCCTGGGACAAATAGAAATGGATAATTAAAGCTTTCTAATTGAATACCTCCATATAATACTAATTTGCTAGTATATTTTCATAATATATAGAAACTAGTATCCAGAAAAAAAATAGCATACAGGTTTAAAAAATACCTCATAGATGTGGGCAATTACAAGTCTTTTTTCTACTCAAATTAAACAGTAAATACTGTGTGACTAATTTGATCAACTTTTAATAATTCAAACCTATTTTTATTCTCTATTTTGTTACTTGGAGTTTATTACTTCATTCTAATTTTGCCTAAGTGCAGTTTGTTATTGAGTTTTAGGGAAAAGTGGCAGAGCAAAAATTAAAGAATTAAACATGAACAAAGTAGTGCACAAGTCAAAATATTCTCACATTAACAATATAAGGCAATTTTTTAAAGAAAATGACATGTGACCAATTCCTGTATCAGTGGATAGTTTCTCAGACATTGTAATCATGATTTTGTATATATGTAGATGATAGAGACTAGACCAAAATTGTGACCAAACTGTATAGTGAAAATTTATTTGTTTATTTATATGTTTTGTGGTACTGGGGATCGAACTCAGGACTTTGTACTTGTCAGCAGGTGCTTATGCTGATGAGCTGTGTCTCCAGCCCTCACATAGGGAAAGTTTAAATGAAAAATAATTATTTTATTCAATAACCGAACTTAGAAAAAATGGGGTATACCGATGAATGTCCATTTTGTATCTGTGTATTCAAAGTGGTTAGGATAGATATATAGTTGCATTCTCTTAATGAATAGAATGATTTGTTCTAATGGTGTTTGTAAATAGGATCTCAAGTCCGCATCTTGTACAGCAATTAACCACTAAGAAGAATATATGCAGTGTATTATTTGTTGAAACTGTACTTCCGATTTGATTTGAAACTGTCTCATTGCTATCTGTTTATCAATAAAATTTAAAAAAGAGTTCATATAACATAAAAAATAAAAATAACTGATGTAAAAAAATAATAATAATTATTTCAGTAAGAAGCAGTGTTGCTTTTAACCCCCCCCCCCAACATATTCCATCTTGCTTTGTGCACACTTATCTCTTTTTCTTGCCATTTTCTGACACAGTTCTGGAATTCATTTTTCATGAATTTCTTTAAAAGTGTGGTTTAAAACAGATATAGTGAGTGCTCTGTCAAGCGCAGTCAAGGGGAAGGCCGGTCCATAAGAACATTACGCTTTTTCTGCAGGTTTGGCACCATGAAACTTGTGGCTCTTTGTCCAGATCAAAATGTTCATGAAAGGGCAATGTTTGGGTTAATTCAGAATGCAGTCAGCCTCACAAGGCAGATAAAGATATTGAAGAAGGAAGACTTTCAGAGCTGTTTTAGCAAGTGACAAGAATGATTGAAGTTTATTTAAATCAATGGGGATTCTTTCGTAAGGAATTAAGTGTATTCGTAGTTGTATGTTTATGTAAGTGATAAATTCTTTCTTCATGTAATCAACTGGCTACAGTATATTTAAAAACAGCCTGGAGAGAAAGAGAGCAGTACCCACGCAAGAGCACCTACTGGTTCACTCACCTACCTCAAGCTATGCTGATGTTCTAATCTCATTGTCTTTTCTTCTTAAAAATCACAAGTGTGACTAATGACCAACAGTAATTCAACTTCTCACTCCTTAATACTTCTGTTTCCACCTCCTTTGAGCTTGAGCAGGATTAAATTTTGGTCACTGAAGTTCACAAGTTCTGTAAAATGGAAGTCAGTTTCATGCCTCATCTGCTCGGCTGATGAGAGAGCTCCAACCCTCCTCACATCCACCTGAACCATGAAATAGCCTCTCAGTTCGTCTCCTTTTGTCACATCATTCTCCACATGATCCCAGAATTGCCTTTATGAAAAGTGGACTGGTGATGGCATATTTCATATACATGAAAGTATTCAATATCATTTGTTATAGGAAAGCATTTCTAACATTTAGCCAAGATTAAAAGGCTCCTCAAATCTTGTTACTGTGTTCTTTTCTTGCGATGGCTTCCAGAACCATACTGCTGGCTGGATGAATTAGACTTTCTATTTCTGTGTATTAGTGTGCTCCTATCACACTTTCTGCAATAGTTTATATCTAGATTCCCCCTAAGGCCTCAGGCACTCAGAGGCAGGCTTTTTGGAAGCTGATTGGATTATAGGACATTACAACTGACTTTCGTTAGGAAGTGGAGACTGGTGGGAAATGGCAGGTCATTGGGGCATGAGCTGGAAGGGTTCATTTCCATTCACCTTTCCCTCTGCTCTGGTTGCAATGATGGGAGATGCTTTCCTTGCACCAGGCCCCTCTGTCATGCCACCAACTGTTCAAGGACTGAAACTTCTACACAAACAAGCTGAAGGTCTCTGCCTTTCATCTGTGGGTGTTGGTTAATTTCTCTCAATGGCAAAAAATGTGACTAAGACTCTTCACATACATTCGTCATATGTAGCTTCCCTGTACACTTCTAGACATCCTTCAAATTTGTTTAAATGTGACCTCTTCTGTGAAAATATTTTCTGCCTCAGAAAGTGTTCAACCGCTAGTGTTACCAAAGCAGATCTTGCTTTTAAAAAACAGTGAGTGAGTGAGTGAGTGAGTGAGTGAGTGAATCATCCCCCCACTAAAATCCAATCTCTGAGAGAAAAGAGCATTCCCTCACTCATTCTTTTATTTCTATTTCTTGCAATTCCATGCCACAAACAAGTAGACAATAAACACTGACAAAGCGAGTAAATAATCATCAGTAGGAAAAACAAAGGATCCCAAGAGATTGCCTTCACTGGTGAGGAGTAAAGATCCATGAAGTGTGGAGATGCCATAGAAAATCAGCAAGCAAAACTCCCAGCACAGTGATTAGGACAATAATTGTACTTCTTACCAGCTGAGTCTCCAAAACTAGGCTTTCAAATGCTGAACATGGGATTTTATTAGCTACTGTTAAAATAAGGCCGAGTTTCAAGTAGAGTGCTTTTCTTCATCTCATTAGCAAGAATTTATGTAATACTGTTAGGCTTGTGCTCTTTGTACATTTTTCTGGACTGTAACTCCATGATAGAATACTCCTGATAAATTGTTCTTATTTATCAATAGTTGTAATGTGTACTTGGGTATTCTGTATTCACTTATATGGGTGTATTCTGACCTTTGAAATGTTAGATGATTCATGAATTTCCTGATATATGTGAGGAGTCTTAGTCAATCCATATTAATTACTCCAAGCTATGAGAGTCTGACTTAGTTACACATATATTCAGCAACTCCGCCTATATTCTTTTTTAAATTATTATTTAGTACAGGATTTATAGGGTCTCACTATGTAGATCACACTCATAGTGATCCTTTTGCTTTCAGCCTCCCAAGTGCTTGGATTACAGGTGTGCTACAACACCCAGTCTCAATCAGAGACTCAGGGTGCCCCCGCGGCGGGGCTGCCACGGCACCCACCTGTATTCTTAATCGATTATTATTTTTGTAGTTTTCTCAATACAAATACATTTTGTTTCCTTATTAAGTTTATGCAGTAAAGAAATATCAGAATTTAATATTTTGATCCTTTAAAATCCCAGTAGATGGCAGTGCAGTGCTGATTTTAAGATTAACAACAATAATGAAAACATTTTACTGAGTTGAAGATTTCAAACACTTTATACCATCATTGTTATTCTAGCCACAGAATTATTCAAATTCCAGCATAACACTGAAAAATAGGAACATATGTTCTATCTCATGAACATGTAAATAATACTATTTTCAGCATTGCACTTAAATTTTCCAACTTAATTATAAGAAATGTGTTGCATTTCTTGTGTATCTTTATAACTGCATATGTGGAAGCATATAAGTGAAGAGTGAAATGTGCTGAGAACCTTAACTCAATGGATTTGGCTGAAAACCTAGCAAGAGTGTCTTTTTATCATATATATTAAGAATCTAAAGTCAACGCTGGGCACAAACCTGTGATCCCATGGCTTGGGAGGCTGAGGCAGAAGGATCACGAGTTTGAGTCAGAGTAGGCTACATTGTGAGTTCAAGGCCAGCCAAATTACAAAGGAAGGCCTCGTCTTACAAAAAAAGCTAGCATCAAGAAGAAACAGGTATGAAATAGAAATCCTTATATTTTAAATATCTGATCATACCTTAAAATGGCAATCAGTGATACATTTTACTCTGAAGGATATGTCTCTGTTGAAGTTACTGTATTTTTAAACAAAGTGCTAGATACTAATGATGATGTGCTATACTTTCCAATAAATTATCCCACATAAAAATGCTAAGAAAGGGCAGGCCAGATAGCTCAGCGATTTACAGTGCCTGCTTAGGCAGACACAGGGACCAGGGTTCAATCCCGGTACCCTCCCCCATGTGTGCTGTGCCGGCCCCGCCCCCGGGGCATGCTGAGATGGTGACTGAGACTGGGTGTGGTGATGCACACTTGTAATCCCATGGATTGGGAGGCTGCAAAAAAGGAGGATCACTATGAGTCCAATCTGTGTAGTGAGACACTGTGGGCCCTCTACTAAATACAGAAAAAATAAAACTAAATTTTAAAATGCTGAGAAGTATAAAGGTTGAGAGAGTAAATGGCCTGAACCATGCTATTAATTTTCTGAGGCTGAAACACACAGAATAAACATTCGTATTTAACATCAATGAAGACCCTTTTTTCAAAATTTAAATCTTATTTTTGAAAAATGATTGATTCATTAAAGGAAATAAATATACCAGAATTTGAAGTACATATTTGTGCATAAAGACTTAAATAGTAAAAAAAAAAAATGACAAATTTCATATCCTATACCAATCTCATCAATTGGAAACTAAGTTGACTGTGCAAGAAACTTACAATTTAAATTTTGTTTTTCAGGTAATGTCTCAATAACATGCCAACCTGGTTCAAGGCCTTGTGCTGATGCTCCGCAGTGTGTGTCAACTGATTTGTTTTGTGATGGAGAAATAAATTGTCCAGATGGCTCTGATGAAGACAATACGATTTGTGGTAAGATCACCCACCTGGTCTCTGTTCCTTCTTCCTTTTCTCCTCCTTTGCTGTATGTGCACACGCACACACACACACACACACACACACACCCCTGAAACAATGACTCACATAGCTCTGAATCAATGATTGAGTCCAAAAGCTGCCTGTATAATTTGACATAGATGTCTAAAAATTTATATTGATATTTTCCTAAACTTCATTATATGATCCTAAATATATTAAGTTTTCAAAATTCCAAATGATGTTTATGTAGAGAATGTTCTAAATAGTAATGTCTGTCATTAATCCTTGCTTATCCTTGATAACTGACTGCTCTAAACTTGTCTGGACTTAGACCTTCACCTGCACATTACTACTTGCTACCAGTGCTCTTTTCACCATCATAAGATCAGATTTTTTTGCTGTTTTAATCACAACTATTTCAGTGAGGATCACTCAATTCTAATTGCTGCTTTGACTTCCTTCTTGTAGTTCTGTAAATAATGCAAACGATGATAATGTATTTTATTTGTACATTTTGGCACTATTTTGGAGTCTTACTATTAGAAATTCAAATAGCATAATCGATGACTCTACCTGGTTAAATATCTTTTCTTCTTATTTCTTCATTTTATAATTATGTTCCATTAGGAAAGTTTACCAGAAAGCAATACCTAAGCAGTTAATTTATTTTCATATGGGACATACCTAGGTAGATTATCACATAAGTGAACACATAGACAAGCAAGGGAAGCAAAAAACCATTTGAATAATGCCAGCCTATAATTGTTTTTGAAACATTAGGCAGAAGACATGAATTGAACATCGTTTTGTTAAGATTTATAATGATTTAACGACTGATTGTGAGTATAACTAGTTAAGGGCTACAGTCACTTATACTGTTCCTTCTTCTATCATTTATTATACTTTTCTCATCTTGCTTAATTTTAATTGAAGACAAAGATTACAATGAGAAGCAAAGTTTTAAAAATTACCTATTGACTTGGAATATCATTTAGAAGATGGGAAGCCTGTCTCTTTGCCAGTAGCAGTTCAACAAAGGCAGTACTACTGGAAAGATTTCCTCTCAGCAATCTGCATCTAGATGTTCTTGGATAAAATCCAAACTGGTGGAGTTTAACTGCATTCATTGACTTGCACTCAGAACATAGCCGTGGGAAACACAGCCTACCGAACATTTCTAATCTATTTTATATGTCTAAGGTACTCCAAGAAAGCACTTTTTCTTTGCTATGATTTTCAGGCACTTTCCAAATCTTTCTAGGGAGACTATGATGCAATGTGCCATGCTGAGGTAACAAAACTGATGCTGAGTTCTGCTTCAAAAATAACCTCATGAATGTCAGAGACAGACATAGCGTACTGAGGCTGTATAAAGATCATCAGAACTTTCAGCACGACACAAAGCAAACACTACATTAGATGAATTAAATAATCAGAAAACGTATCATACCAATAACCTGGCTCCTAACCTCTTGAGGTCCATAAGTTTATGGTAAGATAAGATCAATGCACATAGAAATAGTCTTAAAACATTATATAAAAATGACAACCTGAATTACTCAAGTAAAGATTTTTTTCTGAGCCAGTGTAAACTTACACAGATCCCCAGTACTAAAACTGAACTATTTACCTAAGTATGTGTTAAAGACATAAGCAAACTGCATCACTGCATGCCGGTATCTCTGCAGTTTTACATTACTCAGCCTTAACATCAACTTGAATTCCATGTCCCTGACTGCATTAAGCCTCAATGCCCTCACTTTCCATTTTCTTGATTATCCTCTTTGTTTTTTTTTTGTTTTTTTGTTTTTCTTTTCTGAACCAGGGATTGAACTCAGGCCCTTGCGCTTGCCAGGGAAGCGCATATTCCACTGAACCATCTCCCCGGTCCCCTTCTTTGCATTTTGAAGTGAGCATTTTATTTTTTCGGTAAATAAATTTTAATCATTTGGGAGATAGGGTAGTGGTAAAATAAATCAATTAATTTGCTTTTAGCAAGCAAGAATTCAAAATATAATTTATTTTATTATTTTGTGCATTGACAATTATGAGCCCAGAAACCTCTTGGACTTTCCTTTAGAACTGTCTCAAAATTTTGATAGCGTAATTTCCACCACAAATTCATTGAGTGAAAATTCAATGCGCATTTTCTCTATAAGCATTTGACCTTTGCTCTTATTTATTTATTTTGCTCCAGCTGCGAGCTCCAATTCCAGTTTGTGTTATTAATAGAGTCATATTAATGTTGACTTCCTCATGCAGCTTCTTTTTTTAGTCTTTGATTATTTAGGTTTGCACACGTATAGCTGACTATAGCTGAACGGAGATTTCTTTGAATTGCTTTCCTGTTCTGATTAGAATTGCATCCGCAAGAAAGTTCCCTTTTCAGCTGACCTATGAGAAGAAAAGACGCTGACTCACAACCTTTCAGGCAGAGGTGCAGGCCTGCTTGAAAGCTGGCGAGTGTCTTCGCAATTTGTATGCTGCATTTGTACTTGCATAATCGACCTGGGTGGGCTGGTCAAGTCATGTGTTGTTTTATACACCAGCTTTCCTGGGGACAAATATGCAATTAAGAAACTTCAAGTCAGCAGAATGCTCTTAGCAGGTCCTAGGTGCACACCCTTAGGATCCCCATCCCACTGTAGTCAATAGAGGCTGATGTTATTTGACAGGGTCATTTTCTTCCAGCCAGAATTTTATGTTGCTTGTTGCTGCGCTGCAAAGTGCTCAGCAGTCTACACAGTCATAATCATGAACGTTCAGCAATACAACTCATCCATGTCTGAGTTTCATATTTTTCCCAGAAGCCTCTCTTGCTTCATTCTCATAACAAAATTGGCTTCTTCAAAAATAAAATTAATTTTAACAATTCCCAAAATTAACGAAATAATACATAAGGAAGATCCTAACATAATCCTATATCTTAAAATGGTAATATTTTAACATTCTGTATTTTTCCATTGTAAGGAGTCCAACATTGTGATAATGTCACAGCTTCATTTGCTTACAAGCAGGAATTTACCAAGGGCCTTTGAGAGCAGAATTGGGCATGTGCATTATCCACCCCTCCAAAAATTTTTTCATCCTCATGGAAAACTGGAAGGCACATTGATTTAAATACCATGATAAACAATCTTAGAGATTTGAGACAGTCACAGTCCATTAATCACCTATGGCACAGTCCAAAAAAATGTCAAGGATGCCCACTCCTGATCTGTCACCCTGGCTGGCCCCAGCCTCTCCAAATTATCTGTTACAACTTGCTCAGAGACAAAGAAAGAATGTTACAGAAGGTTTGTTTGGATAGGAACACAATTACCTTCACGAGAGCGCCTGGGCAGCTTAATCACATGGCTTCATCTGAGTCCACGAGATTTGTGGCATGAATCTATCTAATCATCTACCTTGGAAGGCTCTTAAACAAAATGTGCCTGCTATGTCTGTCACTGCCATAAGGGACGTAACGGCTGAACCATGCACTTACCATATTTAAATGGCAATGGAATACTTGTCTCTAACAAAGCTAAATGAAAAAGCAGGATATAAACAAAGGACCATTTTGTATCTGTATATACAAAATAGGATAGATGTACAGCTACTTTCTCTTAATTCATTGAGAAGTAAGATTTGTACTAATAGTGTTTGGACAGGATACCATGTCTGCATCTTATACTATGAATAACTACCATGAAGACAACAATATGCAATGTATTAATGATTGTAACTGTCCTACTCTCCTGTTTTGAAACTGTCTCATTTCTACTTGTTTCTAAATAAAACTAATAATAAAAAATAAGGGACATAACTGTACCTTTCAAAAAATTATGAATTTTGTAGAACAAAAACTCTTCAATATCCTTCCTAAGAAGTAGTGTTGTGGGGACCTGTCCATTAGCTCAGGTAAGTACCTGCTGAAACGAAGCAGTCAGGCTCAGGCTAAGGATGCTGGGGTTTGATCCCCTCATCCTCAAGCCAAACCAGACCTGCCCTGAAGGCATCCTGAGCAGCAACACCCGCACCCCCGAAAAAAAAACCCTACTTCTGGGTCTAGGCAGATGGCTCAGTGGAATAAGTGATTCCCCGGCAAGCGCAAGGGCCTGAGTTTAATCCCTGGTTCCACCACAAAAAAAAAAAAAAAAAAAAGTAATGATGAATTTGAAAAACTCTTAAAATTTTACCAGCTTTGCAAGCTGGCTTAACAGGTTATTTTTCCTGCTTTTTAAAAATAAACATAATCTGTATTTGTATTTTTAAGAATTTAACAAAAATGTAGTTTTTAAATTCCCTGATTCCTTCATTTACACTTTTAGCCTTGTTTTTCAGCTCAGAGCCTGAGGGATGCATCTGTAGTAGTAGCTCTGTTGTGGTAGTGAAAATGTGGCACAGTCTGAGATTAACTGGTATGTCTCTGCAGCCACAGCTTGTGACGGAAGATTTTTGCTCACTGGGTCATCAGGGTCTTTCCAGGCTGCCCACTATCCAAAGCTTTCTACGTCAACTGCTGTTTGCCAGTGGATAATAAGGTAGGGTCCGTCTTCTAGGTCCTGTTTAGTTCTGAAGTCTTTTCTTGATGTGGGGTCTTAGCACTTTCAGTGTTTTCCTTAAAGAGGTATTATTTTCCTTAACTATGAGGTAAAGTCTTCTCAATTGACATACTATTGAGAAAGTTTACCTGTAGTTCTTGCCATTTTGAAAAAAATATTCTGTCCTATGAACAGGAGTGTTTAATAAATTGGGCTGTATCTCTGGGCTCCTAAGTAGTCTTTTCCGTGTGATTGGCACAAATCATGCACTGCCAAAGCGAAAAGCACACATGTTCACCTGGGCTGTTTTGGAGTTTCATATCATTTGTCTTGTCTGCAGAACACACTTTTCCTTTGGTACCTGCAGGGGTTGAGCTCTAGCTCTCCACCTTGGGGACACTACAGTCTGTGAATATTCAACTCCATTTGGGATTGAGTTGATATTAGAAATACCTTTAGCCCTTCAAAAAAATCATTTTGAGATGGATCTCACTGAGTTGCCAGACTGGCCTCGATCTCCCTGCCTCAACCTCTTAACTAGCTGGGATTATGGACATGCTCCCCTATTCCTCCATCTGGCCTCATATACATATTAAATCATCTCTAGACTGCTTATAATACCCAATGCAATGTAAACCTGAGGTTTTTCAGGGCAATCTAGGTATAGGTAGCCACCGCATCAGCACAATGATGCTCCACCACACCATGTAAATCATTGTTATAGTTCACTGGTTAGGAAATAATGACAAGGGACAAAATTTGCAAGTGTTTAACACCGACAGCATTTCCTTTTCTAGAATATTTTTGATCTACAGTAGATTGAATTTGTGAATGCAAAACACAGGGATATGGAAAACTAATTATAATTCCTTTGCTGTTATGTTAACAATTGTACAAAAATATCCAATAGTATGATTTGATTGGGTTTTCACATGGTGAGAAAGAACTCTACCACTGAGCTACACCTCCAACCCCCTTTGCTTGCTCTATCATATATAGTTTTGGATAAGTTACTATGTACTTGACTTCCAAACACTTAATTCAGTTGACTAATCAATCATGATGGTGACTGCCACGATCAGGCTGCTGTTAGCTGATTCACCTTAATACTTACCTAAGCATCTTGTACTGAAGAGGAATACCTGATGGTCTCACTTTTTTTGTCACTGGGACATAATACATGACACAACTTAGAGGAGGGAATGTTTATTTTCACTCACAGTTCGTAGAGGGGTCAGGCATAGTGGACTGGTTCCAAGGCAGGGCATCATGGCAGAGGGGCACCACAGAGGAGAGATGCTCAGAGAGTGGCAGGCAAAAAGCAGACAGAGAGATCAAAGGAGGAGAAGGAGAGCCAGGGCCCTCCCAACTGCACCCCCAGAGACTCACCTCCTTGGAGCAGGCTTCGCTTCCTAACATCACATCATTTAGCTATAAACACATCAATGGACTAATTCACTGATAAACGTCATATCCCCAGGATCTGATCACCTCCCAAACTGCCCCAAACAGGCTCATATGGCTTTAGGAGGACCTCTAGATTCAAGCTATTGAAAACTACACTGATGTTCCACTCCGATATTCCAAGTGGAAAAATAATCTGTTCTCATATAAATGTACAAGACATTGAAATAAAGCTATGTGATGACTTGTTCGTGCAATCTTCAAACTTTATGACAACTTTTTACAAACTTTATTACAATCTACCAACTTTATTAATGCTAAATAAAAACAATTTAGGTATTTAAATTCATTTCTTCATAACAGTAGAATAAGATCAAAGGATTTGGAACACACACTAAAAAGGTTTTATTATCATGACACAATCATTTATGTAATAACCATCTTATATTAATTAATAGTTTGTGTTTCTACTCTTTTTATATCCATTTCATTATTTAAAATGTCAAAAATTTATTAGTGTCATAGAAATGATTATTTAAACCTAACAAAATAAAATGTTATCCTAAAACTAATAGCTTACTTCATGATAAAATTATAGTTAAGTTAGCCACCTAATAACTTAATCTCCAAGCTCTATCAAAGATGCATTTATATATAGTTCAGAATTTTCCTTTTCCACTATGGTGATAAAAGAAGGTATAAAAAAAATACTTTCTTTACATGCTTCAAGGGCAGAATAGGTAGTGGAATTTTTCTTTCTTTTAATCTTTTATTTATTTATGTATTTAGTACAAGGTATCACTATGCAGTTTGGACTCATAGTGATCCTCCTGTCTCAGCTCCCTAGTGCTGGGATTACAAGCATGCATGCCCAGTTTCAGTGGCTGGCACAGCATGTGGTAGCGGAGATCAAACCCCAGTCCTTGTACTTGCAAGGCAGGCCAGTAGAATGCCAAACTATCTCCCTGGCTCAGAGATATATTGAATATGCAATGAAACTATAGTTTGGGTTGTACTGATCAACATTAACATTATGGTTACATTTAGCATAGGGCCAAGTGATAAGAATATGGATATTTGAGACAGTCTGTGAGTATCCAAATCTAGTTTCTTCAGATTAAGGAAGTACAATCTTAGACAAATAAATAAAATTCTCTGACCCCAAATACTATCAACTAAAAAGTTCATCTTCTTTAATTGGATAAATCTTAGTAAAATTTTTAAATGAGTATAAATTGACTAGCCTATATCACATGCTCAATAAAAATAGACTGTAAAAATCAGCTAATAATATAATAATACCAAAGGTATACATTAAATTTAGAAAGATACCTATTTCTTTATAAAAATAAATTTATTTATTTATTTATTTAGTGGAACCAGGGATTGAACTCAGGCCCTTGCACTTGCCAGAGAAGTGCTTATTCCACTGAGCCATCTCCCCGGCCCCTCTCTTTATAAAAATTTAGAAGATAACAAAGATGTCTAACATTATGAAAATGTTTGATTATTAATCTTACTTTCACTTTTAAAATATCTGTGGCTTTATTGCAAGTATATTGATTGATCTGAAAAAAACATGGAAATAGTAAAAAGCACACCTTTGTTTCTACGTTCTAATGCTAGTACCGGTTTTGAGAAGGGTCACATTTCTGATTCTGACATTTCAGAGTGGAGTTGTAAAAAATGGTTGGAGTAGTTCAGAGGTGAGCCTTTCAGAGCATTCCATGATAGCAGACAGCTGACTGTGACATGCATGCTAGACCTAGACACTTTCTCCTCAAGCCATCAGAAATTTGAAATCCTGTATTTAAATATTAAACTTATATTTTTTGACAAATCTCTCACACTTCGTCCTACACCCATATAAAAATTGCATGGATCATATTTACAGCAGGTTACACCTTACAACAACAACCACTATATACTAGCTTATACAAAGTGTTGAAGAATGCAGGGATATATGTAAATGAATATGTCTTTGAGACATGCAGATTCTGGTAGGCGGGCATGGAAGTGTGCCACTAGTGGTCATCACAGAGTGTGGTAGTTTCCATGACAATGTGTGTGGATTGGAAGACTCACTATTAAAAAATTTGTACAAATTGAGGTACAAGTTTAATGTAATCCCTATCAAAATGGTAATGGAAATTTTGTATGAATAGAAAATAATTCTAAAATTTATATGAAACCATAGAGGAATCTGAAAAGCTATAACAACATTGGTAGTGAAGAATAAACTTAAACAAATTGTATTTCCTGATTTCAAAACACATTTTGAGGTTATAGTAATGTATGGAATAATGAGAAACACAGAGACCAATAGAATAGAAATCCACAAAATAAATACATGTATGTATAGTCAAATATCTTCAATAAGAGTACTATGAAAATAAAATAGAGAAAAATCAACAAATGATACTGGGAAAACCTGAAGTCCACATAAAAAATAAAATGAGACCTTTATGATGAAACTTTCACAGAAATTTGTGCAAAATGTAGAGATGATTTAAATGCAACACCTAAAACCATAAAACTGGAAGAAAACACAAGAAAAATATTTGACATTGATCTTGCAACTATTTTGAGAATATAACAGCAACACCATAAGCAATAGGAGCAAACACAGGTAAATATAAAGACATCAACCTGCAAAGCTTCAGCACCATAAAGAACACAATCAGCAGAGTAAAAGGCCACCCACACAGTGAGAACAAACATTAGCTAATAATATACCCATTAAGTGTTATAGGCAAAATGCATAAGACTATTTTATAATGTAACACCAAAATAATTAAGTAATTTAAAGGAAAATAAGCAAAAGACATACATAGACATTTATCCAAAGATATACATGTAACTGGCATGGAAAGACGGTCACCATCTCTAATGGCCAGGGAAATTTTATTCAAAACATTGATGAAGGATCACTGAGAAAGCTCAGCAGACTAAGTGCCTGCGTAGGCAAGCCCAGGGAAGAGGGTTTGATTCCTAGAACCACATACCACTCTAGCCCCAGCCCTGGGTGTGCTGAGCTGGCCACCGAGTCCAGGAGTGGTGACACAAGCCTAAAATGCCAGCCTGGGGAGCCTGAAAAGAGGAGGATCCCTGTGAGTCCAAGCTGCATAGTGAGACCCTGGACCAAGTCCATAAAAAAACACTTTGATAACTCTTTATACCTGATGGGTTGGCCTTTACCAAAAATAAATAAAATAAGGTAGATAATGACAAGAATTCAGAGAAATAAAGAATGAAATATAAGATCAAATATGAATGACTAGAAATGTAAAAATGGTGCAGCTGCTATAGAAAACAGTACATAGTTTTCTTTAAAAAAATAAAAGTAGAAAAAATTTATGAACTGAGAATCCCAGTTCAAACTCTTGGAAAGTGGAATGACCAAGGCCAGAGCTAGAGAGACAGAATAATGGGGAATTGTTGTTCAATGGATAGAGTTTCACTTTTAGATGAGTACGCTCCATAAAACTGCTGTTCAACATTGTTAAAGGTTAACAATACAGCACATATACTTAAAAATTTGTTAAGAGAATAGATCTCACATTATGTGATTTTTAAGCTAACAAATAAAACCTGTGGGGCTAGGGAGATGGCTCAGTAGAATAAGTGCTTCCCTGGCAAGCGCAAGGCCCTGAGTTCAATCCCCAGTTCCACCAAAAAAAAAAAAAAAAAAAAAAAAAAGTTAAAATCTAGATCTGTTAAAGATTATGATGATTGTTTTATAATCTTTTTTTAATTTTTGCTTTAGTGTAAACCAAGGACTTTCAGTTGAACTAAGCTTGGATTCCTTTAATATACATTATACAGATTTGTTAAACATTTATGAAGGTGTGGGACCAAGCAAGATTTTAAGAGGTAAGTAAAACAAACATGTAACCCATCATCAAAATGGAAAGACATGGGAAGCTTTTTAGAGCATGTTTTCCCTTTGATTTAAGTTTAATAAGAACTTGGAATATACTCGCCACAGGGAGTGTGCTTATTGCGTATTGCGAACAAGTACTGTTAAAAATAAATTAACAGAAAAAGAAAAAAAGAAAAGAAAGAAGAAATATGGGGCCAGCCAAATAGCTCAGCAGATTAAAGTGCCTGCAAGCAAGAGCAGGGGCCTGGGGTTTAATCCCTGAGCCTGCCATATCAGCCAGGCCCCCAAGGCTCGCTAAAACAGCAATTGAGACTGGGCATGGTGGTGAGACCCTGTAATCCCAGCTCTTAGGAGATGGTAAACAGGCAGATCTCCTTGAGTTGAGTGTAGTACTGAGACCCTGAATACCCTGTAGACCCTTCCCTAAAATGTAAAAAAAAAAAAAGAAAGAAAGAAAGAAAAGAAAAGAAAGAAGAAAAAAGAAAAGAGGGGGCCGAGGAGATGGAATAAAGCGCTTCTCTGGCCAGCGCAAGGGCCTGAGTTGAATCCCTGGTTCCACCAAAAAGAAGAAAGAAAAGAAAATCAAAACTTTTTATATGTCCTGAGTCTTAATTGACCTTAAAAGGCTAGGGCCAAAATGTTGGCTTTCCTTGTAGCCCTCCTTTTTCTCTAATTTTGGTCTGCAAACTTAGCTCGGTAGTGTCCCAAATTTTCTAATCAAGAAGATTATGGGGCCAAAGAGGAAAGTAATCGATGACGTAGAGTGTGCCTAAGGAGAGTCACATGGGGAGAAGACACTCTCTCAGGCTTTCACAGAGAGCACATTGGCCAAGCATTGGCTGTGACTCATCCACATGGCTGCACTGATGAAGGTTCTACAATCTGAGGTACAGGATCTCATGATAAATCCTGAGGGCATTTCACTGACCTTCTCAGACCAAAAAGCTACAACTCTTGTTGCATAGGTCCTGCTTTACCTTGGTGTTAACCATCCAGTAGAAAAGTATGAAGACGAAATATAGAAAATAAAGCCATGCTGATATGTTGAGCTGTGGGGGACTCAGGTCAATAATTTCTGACATTACCAGTTAAACAGAAGACCCAATGCTATTATGGGCTACTGGACACTTTTAGAATATTTTGCTGAGTTTACACACCTATAATATTCAATAACGGAACTTAGAAAAAATAGGGGATACCGATGAATGTCCATTTTGTATCTGTGTATTCAAATTGGTTAGGATAGATATATAGTTGCATTCTCTTAATGAATAGAATGATTTGTTCTAATATGGTGTTTGTAAATAGGATCACAAGTCCGCATCTTGACAGCAATTAACCACTAAGAAGAATATATGCAGTGTATTATTTGTTGAAACTGTACTTCTGATTTGATTTGAAACTGTCTCATTGCTATCTGTTTATCAATAAAACTGTGAAAAAAATAAATAAAAAAGCTTTTTATAAAGGTTATAGTCAATTAATTATAAAAATAATTTATACCAAAATGATTATTTCACAATAAAACAATTGATATTTTACATATTCCTCTTATAAGGCATGCTTGACAAATCATGTGAGTGTATAATAATATATTTCATTACTATGCATTGTTTAAATGTTATTTCACATAAGACAAAAATCAATCATGCCTTAAATATTGTTCTGTTCTACTCTGACATTACAGAGACTATAAACATTTATAATTTATATTCTTATCTTCATTTTGCACTCTGCTCCTGGTCTCTTGAAGGATTAAAACAAAATGATTAAAATTAAAAATAAAAGCATAGCAAGTGGAATCATTAAATGGTAGGGGCAGATGAGATCGCTACCACAGAACACTGAGTGGTTGATACTGTGGACGCTCAAGCTGAGAAGAAGCAGGCACTAGTAGTGCATGTCTTCCAGTCTCACTTTGCTCCATTAGGCCCAAAATGCTATAATAAATACAATGGATCTTCCCGAAATGTCAACTTATCCTACAACATAAAGAAGCATAGTGTGGATTTGAAGTCAGATAGTATATAATATATCCAAATATTTTTCAAGGTAAAGCATTTTCAATAAACTTCATTGGGCTGCTGCTGTGTAAACTTGGAATATCCTTTCATTCCTTCCAGAAACTTCCAAAGATTACCTAATCATAAAGCCCATCTAACATAAGAATTTTTTTCTCTGTACCTCCATAGTGTTTCTACTGTACTTATTAATTACACATTTAATTTTTATAACTCATCAGTCTGAATTTTTCTGGCAGGGAATGTGTTTATTTCTTATCAATGACATTAGCATACATAGTAATTCATTGTCAGCATTCTACAGCTTTTCTAGAGGTTGTGTGTGTTTTTCAAGGAGGTTAATGGACCTCAAACCATAAGCTCTGAACCTTCTGAACCACTACAATAACATTAGAAAACATAGGGGTCTAACTCATTATAACTTTTGGGTTTTTTTGCAACACACCATAACACATTTTAATAGGTTGAATTTTCAGCCACCTTGAAGTCATATATAATTTCTTTTGAGATCAAAAAATCATTTTATGTTATTCAGGTTCTTTTACAAATGCTACATAATCACATTTATGGCAGATAATGAGGGGGAATTGTCATCAAAATTGAAATTGTATATCAATACCTCAAGTGAATTCATACTTTTTATTTCTCAGACTGAAATGTCTGTTTATTTGAACAACTATATCATAATTACCCTTATTGTGAATAATTTTTGGTTCTAAATTAGATACTTAGAAGTTGTTTGAAAACTCTCAATTCAGAAGACTGTTATCAGAGGTCACTCACTATTTAAATGATGGAACTTAACAAAAAAAGGGGATACAGATGAATGTGCATTTTGTATCTGCATATTCAAAGTGGTTAGTATAGATATATAGTTACATTCTCTTAATGAATAGAGGGATTTGTACTAATGGTCTTTGTAAATAGGATATCAAGTCCACATCTTATACAGCAATTAACCACTAGGAAGAATGTATGCAATGTGTTAATTATTGAAACTGTCCTACCAATTTGGTTTGAAACTGTCTCATTGCTATTTATTTCTCAATAAAATTATGGAAAAAAGGAAAACATTGCTTAGTGAGTGACCTCATTATAACTATTAAAGGAAACATTCATCCACTATGGTTATGCAGATCCAACAGAGAGCCACATGCAAAAGGATTTCAATGCTGTGGAAATTAAAGCAAGAAAGAGAAGGCAAAAGTTTCTGGAATGCTCAATAGTTCACAATTGTATCTCTTGTTAAAATTCAATACATAACATCAATGTTTTTCCTCCAGTCTTCAAAAATGGTGCTTCACAAAGACATGAACCTAATACTTAGTTTAGATTTTCCAAGAGAAAAGCTAAACCATTCTTAGTGCTTTCTTCACTATAGTGGTCAATAAAAAAAAAAAAAAAAACTTTTAATACTATTTTTGTCCTATTATGTTGATTTATTATTTTGCATATTCTCTCTCCCTTCTCTATCTGGACTTTACATATTTAAACATAAGCTTTTTTGCCACTGAAAACCAATTTTCACAGTGTTACAAGACCCTTATGTACTTCTGTAAATGTCCTATAACAATGACTTTTATCCATTCATTGTATGAGAATATTTCATATCCTAAACATTATATTAACTCTTGAGAATCAAAATGGAAAGACATCTCCTAAGTAGTTTGTAGAGCTAAGGCAGAACTATAATGACTCAAATAACACTGCCATTAGAGCAGCCCCTAACTGACCCACTATTATTCTGAAATACTAAAATTGTGTGAGGAGACAGCCAAATATATATCTTTAGCTTTCACTCTTGCAATTGTATTTTCACTCCTGTTAGTGTGGTATAGGACATACTTGATAGAGTAAAACTCTTAGTTTGATAACTTCTTAAACTTTGTGTTTCTTAGAGAAACTTTTTAATGAAAACTATATTTCTTTCTTTTTATATGTGTGCTTAGAGTTTGATCCTAGTAATTAAAATTGAGAAATATGTTTTATTCAAACCATGAACCTGTATAATAATTTGAAATTTTCTAATAGTTGAAGGAGACATTTCAATTAAAATCAACCACACAGTAGTGCATTTCATCAATTGAATGACATCAGAAAGATGAATTAATAAATCAGTCAATAAATGATGAATTAATGGGTGAATGGATGGATGGAATGACTATAGATATATAACACTTTTTCATATTCTTCTGTAGCTTCTCTTTATGAAACTGACCCTGGCATAATTAGAATATTTTCCAACCAAGTTACTGTCACCTTCCTTGTCGATTCTGATGAAAATGACTATATTGGCTTCACCGCGTCATATACTGTATTCAACACCAATGAGCTGAATAGTAAGCAATATTTTAATTACTTTTAATCATCTTTTTAATTTTTAAGTGCTTCAATATTTTAACAGAATGTAGAAGTAGAGAATGATATTTTCATTCTCAGTGCCTTTATTGACTATTTTTATGTGCTTTTCTCTTTATTTGATACTTAAGAAACATAACCAAGAAAATCATTAACATTATGGATCAGAATCAAATAATCAGCTTGAGAAAACTGATATAAAATTAAATTAAATATTTTATACCAGAAATATAAGTAAAAATTATCAGCATAAAATAATTTGGAGAAATTTCTGCATGAACTTAATTTTGATTAATTAAATTTAGTTAGAAGGCAAAGTATAGGACAATGTTCATGGTACTACCTAAACTAATGGAAACAAGATATAAAATTTGAATCACAAAAACCTACATTTGCTAAAACCGTAATAAATATAAAGAATATTAACTTAAACAAAACACTGTTTTTTTTTTTAAAGTGATTGGAAGAAAACAATTAAAATTAAAATATAAAACATTTTGTGCATGTCATTCAATTATAAGATGTATAAAGTGAAATTACTTTCAATGTAACCTAACTGTTCATACAGTGTTTTAAATCAAAGTTTTTTTCCTCCCTTTTTAATTACAGATTATGAAAAAATAAACTGTGATTTTGAAGATGGCTTCTGTTTCTGGGTACAAGACCTAAATGATGACAATGAATGGGAAAGGGTTCAGGGAAGCACCTTCCCTCCCTTCACTGGACCAAATTTCGACCACACTTTCGGCAATATTTCTGGTACAATTTATATTTACTTCATGAATCTAAAGAAACGGGTATTCAAACAATAGTTTAAAGAGAACAGTTTTTAATGAAAAAGGCTTTTCAGATTTTTTTTAAATCATGTGACGCTAAACCCATTTAAGTGAAAAATGAGAATCAAATACTAAGTCAAAGTGTGTCTCAGGAACGTATTCTTTTATCCTACATACTCATTCATAGGATGCTGAGAATGAGCAAGAGCCATGAGGGATACAGTAACTAGGTTGTCGCTCTAGATTTGCCATTTATTATTAACTAAGTAGGCCTCTGGGAGGTAATTAACTTCCAATTGTTGGCCTGCTTCGACTTAATTTCATTTTCTGATTATTTATTGCTAGACTAAGGAAATGCAATTAGGTTTTGATATTGATTTTGTACTCTAGAACTTTGCTGAACTTGTATATTTTTATTCAAGAATGACTTAAAACTAGCTATATGCAAGATCATTCCATCTTGACATGGATAAATAGGTTTGTTTCTGGAAAACCGTATCTACGGAAGGCTGATTGAAGAATGTTTTATGGGCATGTTCATGCTTTTGTTTGAATGAGATATTAAAAATTTGATAGGGGGTGATAATACTAACATAGCAGGCAGTAATATTTGACTAAGAAAGTTAAAACTATGAAAAAGATATGAAACTTCTGGTAGGAAGACCACGGCCTTGGAAGCACAGCCATAATATAAACATTCCTACTTAATAACTGAGTTCTAGTCCCACAACTAGGTCATTGAGTGAATTTGTTACTAAATGAGGAATTGTATGTAATATATACATTATAAACAAATGGCCAAAGAAAAATCCTAACTTGATGAATTTACTTTTATTGGCATAACTCTTACATGCAGTGCTGTAATGTACAACAGAACACAGAACTCCAGTACAACCAACAAAAACTGTAGGTTGGTTTTTTAACCATTGTATAAGTGTTAGGTCTTATATCCAAACAGTGTGTCTTGGTCATAAAGTCTGAATATTCATTAAACATATAGGTCATTGAATGAAGTATATCTGTATCAAAATCATCACTGAACAAAGGCTAGATCTTCAGAAGGAATGTGAATCTTAAAAGTTAAGGAAATTTTTTTTTAAAGGATGACCAAATTTTTATGTGTTTATATAATTTTATCTAACAAAAAATAGAAGAAGTCCATTCCACACATGATTTGCTGATAGGTTATTAATAAAAATACAATTTAGTACAAAATTAAAATTAAAATCCTTGTGCATCATTCCAGACATTGATGGCTCCAGCCACCTATCACTATTTCCACAGTCTATCAGAACCCCTTTGAAGTCTTTCCCAATAAACATTCCAAGCACCTCTTATATTTCCTGTCAGAGAAAAACATCTTTATTAGTTTCCTTTCAGTACACTATTGCTGTTAGTATACAGTATTTGCAGGTCGAATTGCTACTACATAACCATTTGAAGTTAGCACATAGACACGGACTAAAACTATCTTTAAATTCCCACAGCATTCTCAGTGCCTGGATCAATCAACATGTAAACCTATTTTTTGAATGTGTGGTTGAATATCAAATTTTTTAAATCAAAAAGTAATCTCAGAATAATTTAAGGACATAAAAAATCTTATAACATTAAGACTTTTTATTGTATTCCTTTATTAGTAATGGTTATTTCTATTAAAAGATAAATATACTTGTCTTTATGTTCTGAAAAGTTTATAGTAATGTCTCTTGTCATTGCTATCTACTAAGAGGATTAACAGTTAACTTATACAGTATAAAAAGATGATAATTACATCCTAAAATATCAAAATATGGTTATCATACTTCTTTCAATTGATCAAAATATTTTTACTAAAACATGACTGCTTTTAATCTAATTTCACAGTCATCATCAAAAGTCCCTTTCCATTTAATCTTTCACTCTTCTAATCAAGAAGCATTTTTTCAAGATACAGGTCCTATTCAATATGCACATAATGCATTTCTGAACAAAGTAAACCAAATTATCTGTTCTCATAGATTATATGTCACATTGAGGAAAAAGAGAAAGCAAACAGTATACATAAAAACTTGTTCTGGGGCTGGGGTGATAGTGCAGCAGTTTAAGCATCTACCTGGCAAGTGCAAGAACCCAAGTTCCTGCGGCACCACGTGCCACACCAGCCTTCCCCCCAGGTGTGCTGAGCCAGCTACAGAGTTAGTGTGAGGCACATGCCTGTAATCTCAGTGCTGGGCAGGCTGAGACAGGAGGATCACTACAAGTTCAAGCTGTGTAGCAAGACCCTGTGCAAATTAAATAAATAAATAAATAAATAAATAAATTTTAATTTTTTTAAAAAAAATTTTCTAAAATATTCAGTGCAAGCAAATACTCTTGTTAAATATAAAGCTCAGAGGATAAGACCAATACTAATAGTAGGACCAATACTAAGGGTCTGTTGCAAATTAAAACACAGTAATCAGCAAAGGTGTTACCGAAAATATGGCATATGAATCCAAACTTTAAATAATTAAAGGGAATAACCATATAGATGAATTCATATGGAGGAACAGAGCCATGACCGCCAAGGTGAATGTTTCTGTCCTGTTTAAAATACCAGGAGGCTGCAGTGGGGTGGAGGAGTAGCACAGCAGGGTGCAGATGATCATGGTGCCTCTGAGGCTCTGGCTTTTTCCCTGAGGGAGAGTGACAGCTATTTGAGAGCTTCATTCATTCATTCATTCATTCATTCATTCATTCATTCATTCATTCATTTTGCAGTACCAGAGCTGAACTAAGGACCTTGCACTTATTCTACTGATCTATCTCCCCAGCCTGATGGCAAAATCTCTATTTGAGATTTCAGATCACAGGCTTGGAGGGAGTCATTGGCTGGTAGGCAGAGAATAGGTTGTGGAAGGACAAGCGTGTTGATAGGCAGGCAGTGTAAGGCTTTCCCCTGACCCAGAGAAGAGGTCTTGAGATCAGGCAGCAGATGTGGTGAGAGACCAGATTTTAGGTAAGCTTTGACAGTAACTACAACAGGATCTTGCTAAATGACTAGTGTGGACCTGCACATAAAATCTGTGCTCTACATAGATGGCCAATCATAGGAGCCAAAAAATGTATTGAATATGAAGATATGTGTATTCCTTACATAATTAATCTTCTTGGAGTAAGCCAATTCCCAGAGCCTAATTCTCCATGGGTAAATTAGTGGGCTGCATAGGTAAAGACCAACCCCTGGGTGCATTATCACCACCCTCTAGAGAGGACCTAAAACAGTCCAATAATTGGACTCTTACTTTCCCTATATCAGTATATATATAGTCTCTACCACTCTTGGACAAGAAGAATAAGAGGAAAATGCAGAAAAGATTTATATCTACTACTACCTCTGACAGATACCTTTTTATGTAGTCAAAAGCTTTGATGTTCAGATTATCATTTTTCTACTTTTAGGTCATCATAATAAATATAAAATAATTCCATTAATATTTGAAGAGTATGAATACATTACAGGAGGAAAAAATGGCTTTAGCTTGCCAACAGATTAAATAACTACAGAGGATGAAACTGACCAAAGTGAAATAAGTGGAATGTCAGGTGGAGATTTTAAATAGTTAGCTCGCAAATGAAGTCTCAGGAGAAAGTTACGTAGCAGGAGTTATTTAAAATTAGATAAGGGAGAGCAGGTCAGAGCGCACCAGAGGCAGCAAAGTAATGAGGACGATGGTAAGGCTTAATAGGTGCTCTCCAGCTCTCCTACCTGTGATTTCATAATCTATGGGTCATTCACCCCCAGGGGCATCTTGCTTCAACTGGCTTTCTTATGTGTCAGAATATCTTCCTTCTGTAAACTAAAGAGAATTAAATCTCTCCTGCTATAAAAATTTTGTTGTTGTTGTTGTTGTTTTGTGTTGTGTTTGTTTGTTTTGGTGTTGCTCTTTTCTTCGCTTTAAGTGACAGGAAAATGTAAATGAAACAGATAAACTTTGAATTAGCATGGCTCTCAGGAAGAACAGCTAGCCCCTCTCCTTTCCCCAGACCCTGTGAAGATCATGCCCTTGATCAAGGCCAGGCTCCTCCCACGATGTCCTGCCCTCACCCAGGGTTTCTCTGCACCTCTTAGAAGCAAAGGAATTGGGGAAGATGATGACATGGATGTAGAGGTTCACTTTAGGATGCTCATTTGTTCATTACAGTGTAGGAAAAGGAAGTTAGTGACATGGGAAGAATTCAGAAATGAAGGGGTCACAAAAGGGCTGGACCAAAGTATTCTTTGGTCACATTCCTCAGTGAAATCATAATTATTCTAATACTTGAAAGACACCAAAGTGAGGAACCAAAGATCATTAAAATGTAGACCATGGAGCCTCAGGTGAATTTCAATCTGACCTCCCTTTAAGACCATCATCTTTCTTCTCTGCCTCAGTTCCCGTGTCTAGAAGATGAGGTCAGTGATAATAGGACCTGATTTTAGCAGCATGGAACAAATATTAAATTGATTACCTAAAAAAGTTCTTAGAAAAATGTGTGATGTATGAAAAATGCAATAATTGTTAGGTGTCATAACTATTTTTTTCAAGCCACAAAAATATGTCAAGGACAATTATCTGACATATTATTCTAGAAGTATCCTGGCAAGGACAACAATAATTTGGCTCAATTTTCAAAAGTATGCAAAAGAATTAAAAGAATTAAGAAATGTTATGTGCTTTTATCCACTCTCCACAAGGAATGCAAACATTTTGCACTGCAGGCATGTGCTCATTAAAAAATTTAACACTGAAAACAGAGTATATTTATTTCATGGCTTGTGACTCCATGTCTCCTCAAAGCCTCATGAAGCACAGGAGTGGGGTTTTCAGTTTGTGTTTAGCTCTTGTGTTTGTGGTGCTAGCCTTAAGGGTGTGTGATTAGCAAATCAGTCTACTGATTGGTTTGGCATAGTTCTGGCTAGGATAAAGGGTGTGAGTACTACTCCTGCCCTAGAGCATACAATTCAAGGGACAGGAAAAG